TACGCCCGGGGGCTGCTCTACTTCACAAACTACCATATTCATGACCACGAAGGCTTCAACAAAATGTTCAATGGATGAAAACAAGCACTCCGGAGGGTATTTATAGATCGAAGGAGCGGCGCACATGGACTAGGAGTACCAACAAAACAAGCCTAACAAAGGACACAGTGAAAAGACATGACTCAATAATGGAAGACTTAGGCGAGAAGGAACAGTACTCGAAGACGAATATATTCGGAAGAATATGTCAACATTGTACAACCCGTGAATAGGCAACATTTACACTCAACCACCACCATACAACTACACCTGACAAACGGCAGACTACCAGAGAATACGCCAAGACAATGCATCCGAGTTCTTTTTTCAAAGAACCCGAATAAATGCTCAGAGGCTGCAACAGGGGAAGATTTCAGTTCCTCGAACAAATCAAACTCAAGACCCTACAACTCTTTGTTTCAAACAGCAAGAGGTTCGGGGGCTACACTCAGTGAGTGCACTTTTTCTTCAAAAAAGCGCACGTCACTCGAAAGGCTTTTTTCAAGACAGCAATTTTCAAACAACATAAGATTCAAGACCCTCCAGCTCCTTGTTCCAAATAGCAAGAGGCTCGGGGGCTACACTCAGTGAGTGCACTTTTTTTTTCGAAAAAGCACACGTCACCAAGAAGACTTCTTCAAGACAAAACTACTTCAAGGACTCATGACAAAAAGAAGCCAGACCGAGCTATATCCGAGTTCTTTTTGACAAAGAACCCGGGTACATGCTTGGAAACATTTCAACGAAGGATCAGAGCGATTTCAAGACAAGACCCTCCCACTCCTTGTACCAAATAGCAAGAGGCTCGGGACTACACCCAAAGGGGGGTACTTTTTTCTTCAAAAAGGTACACACCACGCGCAGATCTCACAGAGCGCTACATGGTTTCGCTCAAAAAAGCACTCGGACGATGCTTGTTCCTGCTCGGCAAGACCTGAAAGAACAAGACGAGACTTTCATAGCACAACCATGAAGTGCTCGGGGGCTTGTCGGTGCGGGACTCACAGGATACCCCACAAGAAAAAGAGAGAAGATCTAGTCTAACTAGGATTCTCCCCATGTAATCTTAGTAGTAGTATTATTTTGTAATCCTATTAGAAACTCTCATTGTAAACCGACTAGGATTCTGATCTCCTAATTATATAAAGAAGGGCAGGATCCTAGAGAGAGGACAACTTTTGTAACAATACAACTCCACATAATCAATTCAATGCAAAGGCTAACGCCGACTGGACATAGGGTTATTACTCGATCAGCAATCGAGGGCCTAAATCAGAATAAATCGACTGTCTCTTGCGTTCACCGTCGAGTTCCGCATACGCTGAAGTCCGAACATACTACCCCGAAAATCTCCGTGGCAAACTATCGGTGGTAAAACATCGACACTATGCTACGAACTGGATCATCGGTCATCGTGAATTCTCGAGAACCTGCCTTCCCCTGCGCGGCTGCGCCTCGAACTGAACTGTCCTTGCTCGTGCAGTCGTGCTCATGCGCCGCCAGCTGCCCTGTTCACGTCCCGCCGGCTACCGCACTCTCTGCACCTCGTCGGATGCATCAGAACCCGATTTCGTTGCCGCCTGTTCCTCCGCCCGCTCCGCTCGCACCTGGCTGCGCGGCGCGGCGGGCTCGATGCTGAGCGGAAACAAGATGCAAAATTAGGATGGCCGCGCTTCTCGGACTCGCGGCTGATGGGCTGGGCGGCTACGCCAAAGACGTCGAAGCCATGGTTGTCCCTTTGTCGGCCGCCACGGCCTGGTGGCAGCACGTAACACCCGCGAGCTCTAGCCGCACAAAGCAGCCTTCCTGATCCGGCCACGTAGCAGCGGCAAGCTCGAGCTGCGCGAAGCCACCATCAAAGCACCTCACGATGGGGATGAGGTCGCCGTCTTTATTGGCCATGCACAACTGACCACAGGAACAAAACCTACATTGGTGTCAGCGCTCTGCCAAAGGCGATGCTGGCTCGGCAAGCTCTCCACCACCACCACCAGCTCTCAGCTCCCGACCTCTCATGCTCTTACACATCGCCTAGCGTGGGACGGTGGGAGGTCTGAACACACAGTACCTGCCCACATTCTGTTCAATCTCGGCGCTATATGGATGATGGTTTCACGTACTCGACACTCGCAGCGGGCACCTCCTTTGTAGCAGGCAGCGCGGTGCCGGTCAGTGCCCCTTCTCATCGGCCTGTGCAGCGCTAGCTGCCCTCCAGATGCGGCTTTGGTCGCCGCAGACTCGGCTCCTTTTCGTCACATAACGCAACGCGTTCGATGATCCATGGACACTTTGGGCGTTATGGGCGAAGGAGCAGTTGCATTTTTTTTTTGAATTTAAGGAGCTATTGTATTGATGATGAATAAGTTGACGAACGCGTCGTCTCTACGGCCGGCCAGCCGGCCGGCTTGCACAGGTGCACGTACGCCTACATACTTATATTAGCTTGTCACATACCTATATATGCGTACATGTTACACACATGCAACTTGCTAGCCTGTTTCTTCTGGCACACTTCACGTACGTAGGCGATTAGTTCATGCATCCTGCCTCTTTTCTTTATAGGGCAAATACGTGAATGCTTATACATTCTGGTTACTAGCTAGCTTCTTGTATTGTTAGTCTGTGATCTACAACTCCCGCAGATAAATATAGACGACGCCATGTATAGTAGCCGCTTGTCTGGTGGGCTCTCTTTCTTAAATGAGTTTGAGCTCCATTACGTATTTTGAGAAATATAATAATATATATATATGCTTCGTACATGCAATGCAAGTTCCTGCTAACACTATATAAGTAAACACTAAAAAAGATTATTGTGATGTATTTTGTCCCTTAGCTACATTTTTTTTTGTTGTGATGTCTTATGCTAAAGTTCTATGCAGTTTTCATTTTTATCAGGTAGTACAAGTACTCGCTTTCGAGGATGATGGGCACGACGCTCCTCGTCCAACCAAATGCTCTCCTGCTCCATCCTCAATTTGACGCCAAAACACTCATCCAGTGAGTGGCACGGGACCAAAATAAAATTTCAGCTCACTTCTATAGTCTGAGGGTATTTAAGTCTTTTCGTAGCTCAGTTTGACACCGTTAACCTCCAATGTGGACGGAATGGCATAGAGGGCAAAAAAGTTTCGACCAATGACACCTGTGACCGCTCAAATTTTTTAATGATTTATGGATAATCACAAACTTTTATAATGACACACAGGTAAAAGCCTCTTATTCAAACGGTATGCACATGGTTTAATTCTGTCTTCCCCACTCAGTCCGACATGTATCCCTCTCTCTTGCTTCCCCTGTCTCGCTTGAGCTCCCATGCCACAGTAGCTCTTCAATCAAGTCCACATGACTGGCTTGAGCTCGGGGTGGTGCAGCACAACTCCACCTTGCAGCACGGCTCCTCCAATAAGATCCTCCCTCTTCCCCTGGTCGTGACAAACCTTGAGCTCGACGGTGATGGGCCTCGCCCTTGAACCCATTCTCCGAACCCATTCTCCCCTTGTTTAGTTCTACTCCAACTTCTAAAAATTTGCTACGTTGCGGTCATTAAATGCCCACTGTGGGAAATTGCGACAATTTTGTTGTTTGAACACTATTTGCTGATTTATGATGTTCCAAATTCCTACAACTAAACACAGCCTTATTGTTTATCCATGTTGCATGAGACTTTTAAGGGTGTAGCAATGGATATTTGAATGTTGTAGTAGATGAGTCATGTACCGTGGAAAGTAAGTTTTGATATTGTGATTACTTTTTTTTCTTCGAGTGTTGCAGCATCCTTTGAGTTTTGTTTTTTTTTTCTTCTCTAGGTTGTGGCAAGTGGATTTAATTGTTGGGACTACCTTTTTCAAATACTGCAACACTAAAAATTGATTTTTCATATTAACACGGTTCATTTTGTAATATTGCAGTAGACCATGTGATGTTACACTTATAGTACGTGATCTTCTTTTATATTGCGTTAAGTTATCTAGTTTGCGATGCGCTTTTTTTTTCCATGTTCGTTGATTTTGTTCACTACACGATTTGAGATTTTGAATGATGTTGCTGCATAATCGACAACATAGTGGCAATATTTTAGTGAGTGCTATCATTTTTTTTCTTTTTCCCTATATTATTTGGGATTGAACGACTTTACATGCAAGATAGATAGTACTCCATCCATTCTAAATTATGAGATGGGTTGACTTTTCTAAATATATATGTTTTATTATACACTTAGATATACACTATGTCTAGACACATGGTATAGAGTAATGTATCTAGAAAAATCAAATCATCTTATGATATAGAACGGAGGAAGTAAATGACAATAATGTTTTCGGTTGGAATTGAATTATCCGGACAAGAGTTAACTGTCTAGACGTCGAAGAGTTAAGATAAAGGCCTAGACGCCGAAAAAATAAGCCAAAATGGTTCTTCTCCTTTGTTGTGAGAGAAAAAATATTGCGGATTATAAGAGAAGCGAATAGGACCAAAAGGGTTCTATGAAAAACACATGCATTAAACAAAGAGAGTTCTGGGCTTCGATAATGCTCAAAGCTAACCTGGACCACTATGTATAAAGTGAAAAGTCCAATGTACGTCCCTCAACTAATCGTGTTCGTTCGATTTTCTTTTCTGAACTATAAAAATAGTTTTTTTACCCTCTCAACTTTTAAAACCGTTTGGTTTTGCAGATGTGATGTCATGTCAGAGATGGGTAAATCTTACGAAGTTGAAAGTTCGGGAGTTAAATCAGATTAGAAATATTTAAAAAAATATCAAAAAATTCATAAAACATAAATTACAAAAATTATAAAATGACCTAATGATGTAGTCCTAACGACGCTCCACTACTAGTCCGGTTTATTCCTTTGACGAGAAGGGTTCTGAGCTTCGAGAGTGGTCAAAGCCGACATGGACCACTATGTAACTCCGCAAAGCCCAAAAAGCCCAGATGGTCGGATGGAGTCACGTGGATGGCACCGTTGTCCGTTGGCGCGCGCGCGCCAAGCACCCAAGGCGGCGCCGGCGCAGGCAGTCGGCTGTTCGCGGTTCGCAGCCGCACCCGTGCCATCAACCTGACGCAGGCGGCGGAAGCGGTCCTCTGCGTCTCCGGCAGCTTCGTGCGTGCACAAGGAAGCAGGGCAGACGAGACGGCCTGGATTTGGTCCGGGCCAGGATGAGGATGGTTTCCGTTTCGTGGCTTCCCCGGCCTCGTCGCGCCGTAATGATTCGCAGCGACACGACACGAGTCAACCAAAAATAGCTAGCGCGGCCTCGCACGCACGGGTCGCACCAACCGCCAAAACGGCGGTGCCGTCCTTAGCTGCAGCGGCTGCGCGCAGCCCCGGTCCCTCGTCCCTCGTCGCAGGCTAGGCAACCCACGTCCCCGCGCTCCCATCGTGTTGGGGCTCCTCCTGTTCTTCAGGCGAGCAAAGGATTTGATTACCGCTCGCTCATGATCCACCGATTTGTTTCTTTTCTTTTATAATATCTGACGATGATGATTGTTGATCACTTTTAAAGATCAAGAATTGGTTAATATGGCTGATTATCTGAAACGTGCCATGGCTGCTGCAGGACGTGGTCATGGAGCCCCAGCCCGGGTCGCCGACGTCGCCGCCCTTCTCTCCGGGCACGACGTTATGGGACAATGCCAGGGCGGCAACGCCGTCGGAAGAGATGGCAGAGCCGGACGAGACAAAGGAGGAGGCCACCGAACTCGAGCCGGGCAGGAAGTCGACCGCGTCCTCCTCGTCCGCGTCGTCGGCTGATATCCCGTGCAACATCGACGTCGTGGAGCTCGTCAACCCGTTGGCGGCGGTACCGCCGGAGCCGGAGGTCGACGAACACGGCGTGGAAGCCAAAGCGGTCCACTCGGCGACGCCGGAGGACGAACGAGCCGCTCCCGCCGTACACGGCGCCGACGACAAGCCGGCAGACTGCGCGATGCCGGAGGGCGGACAGGCCGCTCCCGCCGTAACCGTGCACAACGCGGAGGCCAAGCCGGACGACTGGGCGACGTGGCCGGAGCCACCGCCTCCGGTCGTCGACGACTCGTTCGCCTCGTCGGAAGGCGGCGGCGCCGCCGGTGCGCCGGCGCCGCTGACGGAGGCGCCGCAGGTACAGACTGTCTCGCCGGCCAACCTCGGAGCGGCGGGGGCGGGGGCGGGGGCGGGGGCGGCCGGGGCCAGCGGGTTCGACCCGGGGAGGATCCCGGCGTCCGTGTTCCAGCACAGGACGTCGGTGTCGCAGGCCGAGTGGAGCATGGCGTCCAACGAGTCGCTCTTCAGCATCCAGGGCGCCAGCGACCTGTACCCCGGCAGCAGGTCGCACTTCGACTTCTACTACGACGAGGCCATGGCGGAGGCGGCGGACTCCAAGCTGCCGTCCCTCGCGGAGGGCGCGGAGCCCGGGGACGCGCCCGAGTCCAGGGAGTTCGCGGCACCGGGCAGCGCAGAGTCCACGGCCAGCGCCGTGGGCGGCAACGCCAAGAGAGCCGCCGTGTTCCGGCAGCACGAGAGCGGCTCCGGAAGCAGCTCCAGCAACTTCTCCTTCGCCTTCCCAATGTACTGCACTGCACCGTGATGCCCGTTCTTGATCTTGTCTTGTCGGCAATGACCGTGCAAATTAAGCAATCACCTGCATGCAGACTGGCGGAGACGTCGCCGAGGAAGAAGGACGTCGTCAACAGCGCGCTGTACCAGCCGCTGGAGAAGGAGCGCGAGCAGCAGCAGCAGCCGCAGCTCGAGCCCCCCGTATCGGCCTTCATGGAGATGACGACGGAGGAGGAACGGCGGAGGAGCGACACCGGGTGCTGTTGCTGCGGCTGCTGCTGGTTCGATTGCTCCTGGTGCTGTCGGTGCCCATGGTGGCGATGCGGCTGCTGCTGCAGCTGCTCCTGCCCCAGCTTCTGCCGGTGCAGCTGGTGCCTCTGCTCATGAGAGAAATTGGCATTTGGATCCGACAAACTTGGTGCCAAATGGGAACTTTAGATGGGTAGGCATCGTCCGTTGAGAGGTTAGATCCCATTCGGCGCCTCCTGCTTGTGTTTTCGGAGGATTATTTGACAGACAGGGTTTGACATGTGCACGTCAGCTGACACAGTATATACAGTACACAGTGTACAATGTTGAGAAGGAATGGAAGTTCAAATGAATGATTTTGCTAGGCTGGTTGGTATATTAATGATCGATTAATCTCCTTGCTGTTCCATGTACACGAGCAAAGAACGTCACGTCACATTTAGCAGGTAATAGCAAGATGCAGGTACAATTTTCAACAAGTAAAATATCTAAACAAATGATGGAGAAACACAAAATATAGTAATATAGTATAAATGAAACAGAGACACAACCATATACTTGCTGCGTAAATGTTAGTGCACAGTATATGTCAGCAAACAAACCAGCTCCCAATTGTGTAGAAGGGGCTGCTATGTTAACAAAACTACAAATATCAGTCACGCAGATAACTTAGTTATGTAACTCAAACTTGCCTATAAGTATGCATATATAGACAGGATTACTACTGCCAGGTACCCCACTGCCATCTGATATCTGGGAAGTTCTGCATACAAACTGAGATTGCACCTTGACGGACAGCATCAGCTGATTCAGCGTGGAAAAGGACAGTCACCTCACACAAAGGTGCACAAATCTCAAACAAGGGCAAGAGATGAGAACAACTCCCTGGTTGCGGCACATGAATTAGGAGCTTCTTCAGGCAACTTCCAAACTGACTACCTTTGCATAGGGCGAGACATAGTTTCAGTTCACATGAAAATCTCGGGGCCAGCTTGACTTCACTAATGCTGGCAAGCATTCTCAGAAGATAATCTGGGTTCACTGCTTCAAGAAGTTCATATTGACTTGCAGACTCAGGTAGCTCAAGCTCCAATGTCCTGATACCTCGATTGTCTATGAACACTGGAAAAAGGGAACTAAAATCCAGTGATTCTATGCGAAGATTCGTCAAACGCAGAAGGCCGTCAACTCGGACAGTTGCACCAAGTTTATCAATGGTCAGCTTCAGAGTAGACAAGGATGGACTATCCAAAATGAGTGTATCTGGTCGGATACATTTCAACTCCAGAAAAACCAAGTCTGGCGCATGGACAACCAAAGACCGTGGGACATTTGATACCTCCCAGCGGCAAGCCTTTAGATGAAGAAGGTGAATCTTAGGGTCCTTGAGCCCTCCAACTCCTATAAGATTAAGAGTGTGAAGGCAAGGGAAGCACTCATTCAATTGGTTGAGATCTTCATCATCCAACCTAATGAACTCAAGCGTCAGATGAATCAGATTTGGCATTTTCTTGAGCCCCTCAACAGAAAGCCATGCATTTTAAAGTCCCAACTTGACGAAATTTTGACCTGTGTAGAACCAGATCAGCGCAGGCAAGATTCATCAGCAAGACATCTAGAGCTAAACAGAGTATAATGGTTGGCTTCTTCATCATGAACATGATAAATATTCCCTCCGTCCTCAAATACAATGCATTCTGGCCATTTTCAGACAAAATAAGGGAGAGTGCAATAGACGCATGTACCCCTCACTTGCCTTCCTAATGTATTGAAATCTGATTCTTTTTCGCATGATTAAAGGGTGAACTATTAGTCTCCTTATTCAAAATATGGCAAGTACATGAATTACTTTCTTTATACGAAATAATCATGTATTTTATTTAAGTAAACATTATCTTCTTGTTCCCCGAATGTACTATATTTGAGTACAAATTTCAAATGCCAGAATGCACCTTATTTCAGGACGGAGGGAGTATGAGCGTAACAAAGTGCCAGAAAAGATTTACTTCCTCAGCAAGAAATCACATCAAATCTTGAGTTCAATGTCTATATGGCTACCAAACATATTATCTAATCTTTGAGAAAATTTAGGATTTTCCACTCCATTGTCTGATTTCAGAATTTGCCATACATTACCTAACCACCCTGGACCAACATGACAATGAAGCATCGAGCAGCAAATCCTGAATTTCGCCCATTTCTTCAAAGTGCACATTACACGACTAAACAAGCTAGAGAGAGGGATATTAGGTACAGACATCAGTATAAACAACCAGAAGCTACATGAAAAAGATAGCAAAAAAATTAGACTATCTGATAGCATAGCAAAAGAACAGCCAACCAACCAATCTACAGAGCAAGGTGCCATGTTCTAAGGCAAGAGCATGAGTAGGTCAATTTATCCTCACTTTGTTAGCAATTTTCAACAACCTAGAGAACAATTTTACACTTGCAGCTCCTTCAAACAGCACGCTACAAAACCTTCTATTCATCCAAAAAAGATCTGAATGGGGCATATAAGATGCGCAGATAGATTCAGTGAGACCACCACAACTTTGTTATGTGCACCCAAGGCTTGACGCGAGAGGGGGGGGGCATTCCCCTAGTAGACGCGTCTAGGCGCCACTCTAGACCTATCTAATCACCGACACTGATTATTCTCTCTAGTTTGCAAATACTTGACACTTTGGATAATGCCATGGCCTCCAAAACATACCTTTGACCACTATTTTCTATTAGAATAAAAATAGACATCCTAACAAATTTATGCTTCTATGAAAGTACTTTCCAAGACAACTCAATGAATATGGTCTTCAAGTTTATAAATACTTTAAAAGTTATTTATGATCAAAGTTTTAAACGTTTGAGTCTAACCCTGCCCAAAATGTTACGTATCTGTGATGTGGAGGGTGTAGGTGTTGAGCATGGAAATATTAATTTCTTCAAGCTAGCATGGATAACAAGAGAGGGAATCACATAAGTGACTAAAATATTTCTCCAAAACAGGCATACTTTTCATAGCACATATAATATATGTTTTGGCCAAATAATACCTATAAACTCCTAAAATATGAAAAAAAAAACTTAATTGGATTATTTGATCGTCATCACAACTGAAAACTATATATATATATACTGAACCTAGCTGCAAGTTAGTTCAATTTGATGCGATGCCTCATCAAAACCCAAAAAAAAGCCTAAAAACCTGGTTCTGTTGAACTTATTATCCTACAAAATCATTAGGGAGCCTTGTGTCAAACAACACCTAAAGTATAGTGATTAGGGACCCCCCCCTCCTCCTCCTCTCACCACTGCTTGATATGATTATGAACTAACCATCAAATGCCTACACAGAAACGCAGTTACGGTTCGTTCACATTGTTGGAAAATGGGACTCGAAACATCGGTCGTTTACAGATTTGACACTGGACCCACATTCATACACACAAATGGACCCACTTGTCATCCCCCCGAGTGTCATCATAATAAGGAGTCATCTTTCGAGTGTCATTTTTGCAATTTTTTCCCACTACTGTGTCATAGATTAGTAAAGGAATAATGGTGTGCCGGCGTTTTAGCTCAATCAAAAGCCGAAGGCAGACACATCAAATGGCAATCAGAGTGAAACTCGCATACAGTAGTGTGAGATGAGTGGGAGCGCCTCCGCCTTTCGCCAGCACGCCTGCGGCCAGTAGTCAGCGATCTCAAGCTCCCGGAGAACCGCTGCCGCGGAGGTGGCCGCCCACGACGCCACGGCCTCGCCGCTGGTGAGGTGCAGGTCGTCGGCCTCGTCGAACTCCCCCTCCTCCACCCACATCGGCACATCGCGTCATCGGGGGAACCCTGCCCATCGGCCGTGTCGAGCGACAGGGACCGGAGATGAGGCCCGAGAAGCGAGGCGAGGTTCGCAGTGGTCGCGCGGAACGCGGGGGAACCGCCCCCGCCCTCGCGCCGGCGGCGGCCCCGGTCGGCGGCGCAGAGGCGGACGCGGGGGCAGAGGTAGGACGCGGCGAGGAGCGCCCGCGAGGCGAGGCGGCAAGCAGCGATGTCGCCAGCGTCGGCGACGCGGCCCAGGACGTCGGCGAGGACCACCGCCGGGAGGGCGTCCAGGGGGTCGACGGAGGCTGACATGTGGAGATGGACTCTCTGGATGTGGCGTGCGAGCGAGTGTCCGCACAGCGTAAGCGGCTGGAGCTGACTGAAGCGACAGGAAGCCCAAGGCCAGCCCAAGTTTATGGGGCCGAACGTCTCACTGGACTCGATCCACGCACACCAAATATAACGATAGTTTACGTTGAAAAGGAACTGAAGATTACTTAGTTTTAACGATATGTTGCTAAAAAAAGTTAGTTTTAACGATATTATTAAAATTTATGATCTAAATGTAGTTGGTACTCATCGAGTTAATTTCAAATTAGTAGATGTACAACTAAAAATATCTTTCTTTTATATTACCAAACATATTCTACATCATTTTTGTTATGCGTGCTATAAATAAATCATCATATATGTATATCAGTATGTATGATTTTATATCTTTATTTTATCGTCCTATGAATTTTGTTGACACTCGATAGGTTGGTCCCCGATAGGTCGGACCCCCTGTATCTGAATCCTGGAGGCCGGTCCCCCCTTTGAATCCTAGGTCCGCCCCTAATGGCAGCAATATGTGTTCCCTTTGGGCTCATTTGGTTAGCCTATTTCACACTCAGGAACTAATCCAGGTTCAATTACTTATACAAATTAAGCTTAAATTTCAGCTGGATTCTTTCCATGCACTCATTCCCTGGTAACCCAACGTGGCCTTAGTAGGATTTTTTTTAATAAGGGACCGTTTTGTTTTAGATCAAGCACATCTTACTTGAAGGGGCCCAGCAAGCTCCCAATTTACGGTCTGCAGAGAAGATAAAACAGGGCAGAAGTTGCTGTGATCTAGGTTGGACCAACTGAAAAGAAACTACTGCAAAAGATTCCTGGGTGGCTAGCGAATGAGTAGCGATGTGAATCTTGAAGATCTGATGTTGCACGATCGTGTTGCTGTGCTTCAACTCTGTTCAGAAGAGGTCTGAGAGCGGCATCAGCCGCGTCACAAGTGATAACATGTGGAGTTGTGGACAAGGGTCTCATTGTCACATATGAAACTGGCACCACCAAGATTCAGCACACAGATAATTTTAACACCCAAAGCAATAGACGCAGCTTCTGCCATGAGGACAGATGATACAGCAGGGAATAACAAAAACATGTTGGTCGCAGCTCACATTTTTTTCACATTAAAATAATCACATGCACCATAATTGAGCAACAATTACTGGAGATATTTTTGACACCAACTCAGAAAGTTCAGACAAGATAATCAACTTATACAGACTAGAGGTTAGGGGTTTGAGTAGATGGTATGCAATCCTATCAGAGTTGTCATTCTGGAACCTTTGCCAGGCACGCCTCGGATATGCCTTGAACTTTGAACACATATTATCACTTTATTCTAATGAGGGGGGATCCTTTTTCTAAAAGAAAGATAATCAACTTAGACAGCCTGCTACTTTCTGTAGAAACCTCATGAAAAAAAAAACATCGTGCCTTTGTTTGAATACACTCCTCTCTCCTCTCTGTAGAACGAAAGGGCAGGTCCAACCCTTGTTGTCTGTTGATGACCATCCAGTGAAGAGTCAATCGTACAATATGATCCCGGGCGACTGTTCAGTTCTTTTTTTAGCAACCCAAGCTTCTTCGGTGCTGCTTGATACCTGGTAGCTGATGAATAAGAATTCTATTCAAAAAACTGTTTAGTCGTCAAAAGTGTTTCAATAAAACCCAAGGCCAGGCAGCGTCTTCAGAATTCAGATCAGTTATCCAGTAACTTCCCGATGTTGAGAAAGAAGATACAAGGGTTCCTCAATCATGAGGAAATCATTTATGTACCCTTCAATGAAAAGTATCAGATCAAGATTCTCACCATGGTATTCATGCCACAAACGAGTTGTCTCATTTTCAGAACATATGGACAATTTCTGAAACACGGAACAAAATTGTTAATAAAGAGGCATAAAATATAAGTAGCATTGTTGTCATCAAATATTAGGACAAAATGAAACGCAGTGGAAAACCTTCCAGTGGGTTTTACCTGACCAAAACTGAAAATCAACACAGCTCCAATAAGCAGACACACTCAATATGAGGAGTATGAGGAAACATATCCACAGGAATTACACTCTTCAGTTCATAGCATCCTCTCAAGTCTCTCTCCTCCTGCAGTCAAATTATTGAAGCAGCAACTAAGTATCACAAGAGAACTAAAATATCAAAAGGTATTGGTTATGTGCCAATAGGAGTAGGACAAAACATACCATGCCATGACATAGATAGTCCAAATCCCGAGCACAAGTAGCTGGATTACATGAGACATACACTATTCGAGGAGCTTTAACTTCTAACAGCCACTTGATTAACTTCATGTGCATCCCAGGCCGATTAGGATCTGTATAATTCATTGTTGTCAGTTGGGTTACGAAGCAGACTAGAATTACAACTGATCCAGCATATAGCTTCATAAAGTTTGAAACTTCGTCTCATGTTTGTTGTATATAATTGTGACACTCATCAGGCTGCATACCAAAGATGTTGTTGCCTGTAAGTAGCTAATGAAAATACTAAGTTAAGGCAGATTTAGAAAGAACTGTTGCTGTCAAACAAATTTTCTAGGGAACATCATGGCGTAATTAAAATTTGAATGCCAATGAATAGTAGCAGTATATGAACCAATACGAACCTGAGATGATTATGTCAGGCTTTGGAAATTCCTTCCCGAATGATTCATTGATTTTATTGAGGTCCCCTTGAACAAATGTTGCATTATTGATACCATTCAACTTGGCATTCTTTCGCGCATCTGCAGTGGCTTCAGGGACAACTTCATATCCATAAACATGCTTTGCCCTGAGCCAAGCAGAAGTGTGTTTACTAAAAATGGTTGCCATAAAGTGGTTTATTGTAGTAGCAAAATGGTTTATGTTACCCAAGAAAGCAATTAGACTCTCATAACTAGTAATATCTGTCTCATAGAATATGTACACCCAGGAAAAAAAAAAACTACCTTCTGGCAAGGGTCAAACCAATGGTCCCAGTTCCACAAAACAAGTCAAGAACAATTTCAGAGCCATCTCCTTTAAGGCCAGCAGAGTCTTCAATAAGCCTGTAAAGAACATCAGCCTGCACGAAGTCATAGCGGGAGAGGGGCTCAGATCATTAAAGGCCAGGAAGGGACTTCATTTCAACATTCAAATTTCTGACATTTACTGGTCTTTCTCATCTATACGAGCATACAAGCTCATTTTCTGCATATACAGTTCTTATTTAACTTATGCTTTCTTTAGTTCTTTTCATTCACCCTATTGAAGAGGGGAAAGAAACACACGATGATTGGAGAGAAACACCATGATGGAATGGTACGGTTGTGACAAGAACAAAATGCAATAAAATGTCAATATCATTCAACAAAAACAAACCTGTTTTGTATTAGTCTGAAAAAAGGAGTTGGCAGATATCTGGAATGTAAGTCCTCTCAACATCTCTGTAATGTTTGGCTTCCCGTACAAGGTATATTCTTGTTCACCCACAGATGTATTGCCAACAGATGAGTTCACATTATTTATGACACTGACCTGCATTTACATTACGGGAATGTCAATAATTGAGGCCCAAATATGGAAACCAAACTAATTAAAGCCTGTTTGGAAAGGTAGTTTTGTCAACCAAATCCCTAGGATTCACTACAAACTTGAAATGAATCTTAAAAACTCCTAAATCATTCCTTCCATTCCGAACAGACCTTTAATTGGCACAAAAAATAGAACAGTCCTTACATAAAAGAGCTGTTTTAAATTATAATATCTATCATCACAAAAGTAAGTAGCTTAAGAATATTTTCGTCATTATTAAAGTTCAGAACAAAAAGGAACCAATTACATACCACTTCAGGTATTTTTGTGATTTTGTCAACAACAGGCATCAATAGATCTGGTTTATAACATGACGTCACAAAATTGACCATTATTTCTGGAGTTCCAGTGCTGAAGTTTCTGGAAAAAGAACAATTAAAATGGAATCTTAAAGGAACTCATCACACAAAATGATTTGCTCAATGACCAACAAAAGGATCAATGGTAGTTTACATGGAAATATTATTCCCTTATCAACATTACTTGAGTTTTAAAAGGAAAATGTAGTGAGAACATCTTCCTATAGATAGAGATATATGATCAAGCAGCTAACAAAGCAAAAATACCAACTTGATTAACTGTTTAAAACTTTAAATATCAAACCACATTATCACAAGCGCTAGGTGCTAGTCAGAGGTCAAGCTCCACCTAGCAGCTAGGTGAGACTATGATGTTGTAATTTTTTATAGTTAAATTCTAGCAATTAGAATGTACTATGCATAAAAATGGCATATTGGCATGCATGGAATAGATGGTGTCAGACACGCGTGTGTGTGACACTAAGATGAAAAACAAAAACAGAATAAATTATATTCAGGTTTCAACCAGCAAAATGAGATATATGATAACACTGGTAGAACATGTGAAAAAACACAAGATGGGATGCCATACCTTCCAGTTCTTATCATAAGATGCTTGAGAAACCCAACATGCTTATGGACATCATAAGGCGTGAGGCCTATGGCAGGATCCATCCAGGTTTCTTGAACAACTGCAAGAACCTATGGACATTAGCAACTAATCAATTCAGCATCCCATATTGTCAATCAAACAATAAAAAAGCTATGCGCTATTCACCCACCAATCACAATCAAGTAACATGATCACCAAGTAACAATCAACCAACCACATTAACATAAGCAACAAAATGCTGTTTAATAAACAACCTAGCTTTGACATAACCTCCAAGCCACATGGTTCCACACTTGTAGTCCAGAAAGATTAGAATACAGGTACCAGCTATAAACAATATGTTTCCACACATAAGCAAAACCCTCCTAGCAGATTGCAGACACTAAACCTGTTCAGACACTGCCTAAGCAACCCTGTTCAGACATTATCCTATGGAATGTTACCGAAATCGACAACACTAAACCTGAACATATCATCAGTTTATTTTATAGGAGATTC